AAGCCAAGGTGAAGACCTGCCTAGAGGATGTCCAGACTGGACAGAAGATGTCCAGTCACCAAATCAGCCCCTCAGAGGTGCTACATATGGCAGCTTTTTTTTCTAAAGCAAATGTCTTTTGCAAATTTAACAGCAACTCTGGTAGGCCAGGCTGGGAGATGCGTCTCAGAGCGAGCACTCCTCATAAGGGGCAGGGGCAGCCTCTCATTGGACCAGATCCTACTCCCCCACCCCTCACACACAGGTGCCACCTCAGCTGGAGAAAGGGCAGGCCACTGTGTCCACAGGTCAGCTGTAAACACAGAAGGTCTGGGTGGGAATATTAGCAAGTTGTAAAGACAAGTGGCTGACATGGGCAATTGTCAGCCTGGCCGCTTGGATCTGCTGGTAATTATCACAGATTATGTAACTGTCCTTATTAAGGAACACTGGCCAGTGGCAGGGAGGGCTGGACTCAGACAGGGAGGCTGGAGTTCTGGCTCTGAGGCTTTCTAACCTGTGCTTTTGGGGAAGCCCCTTCTCATCTCAAAGCCTAGGTTTCCTGTCTGTATGACAGGAATGCTATGACCTCCCTTGAAGAACTTGTGTTCCACCTGCATGAGAACTTTATTTTAAAAAAGGGCCAACACAGTCCCCAGTACCAGAAAGGCAGTCCACACCACATGTTAACTCAGCCAGCTCATGTTAAACAACTAAATGTTTGCAAACACTCTGTGGTGGGAGTAGGAACATGAATGACTCTTGGCTAGGAAACCAACAGAGCGAGGTTCCCAGGTGCTAAATTCCCTGTTGGTCACAAGAACACCAATATCAAGAGGGACCTACTTCATCACCCAATTGGCACCCAATCACTTGGTAGTAAGACCAAGACAATCAACAGCCTCAGATTCACCCATCATCTCTCAACAGAGACAGGTCCCTGACTCTACCCCATTGCTAAGAATTCCTGACAATACTTCCCAGTCCTTCACCATTGCCCCATCTACCCATATGAACCTTGGGTGTTTGGGAATTGGAAATATTCTGTGATGGGACATGAAAGAGGGGACTGCAGTATGTATCTACTGGAATATGTCAATGTGTTGGTGTTCTACCCAGATCCTGAAACTTCAGATAAGTAGGGGTGATCAAGCTGGAAGAGTCTTTTGAAGGACATCCAAATCATGGGAACAGCCTGGCGTGCACACAAGACGCCACTCAGATCCGAGTCGGCCTCATCTCTCACCTGGAGTATTGCTCTAGCTTCCTTACTGGCCTCCCTGCTTCCATCTGTCCCCTTATAGTCTGTATTCAACACACCAGCTTTTGATCCTGTTAAAATAAAAGTCAATTCATGTCACTTTTCTGCTTAAAACCACTTAACTGGTTTCCATTTCACTTAGTAAAATGCAATGTTTTTACCACAACCCATAAACTGGTCTATTTTTCAAAAAAGTTCCTTACTGAGGTGGAACGCCCTCTCCTACTTTCTCTCTTTTGATTACTCCATGCTCACCAGACTGGCCACCCAGTGTTCTTCCAAACATGCTCCTGCCCCAGGGCCTTAACACCCACTAGAACACTCTTTCCCCCCAGACAACTGCATGGCCCACTTACCTCCTTCAAATCTTTGCTCATGTCACCTCACTTAAATTGTAGCATCTCTTTTCATCCTTCCAGGACTCTCAATATGCAATATTTTGCCCTATTTTTGCCCTGCCCAACATTTCTCACAATGAAATACTCTAAATCTACTTAATATGCTTATTATTTGCCCCAACCTTGAGAGCAAGCTCACAGGACAAGTGCTCAGAAAGTATTGGTTGAATGAAAAGAGAAATAGAGCCACCCCTGCCTTCATGAACTTCTCCACTGAGTCCTGTACCTTCAAAACAGCTCTCCAGCAGCCTAATCTCTCTTTATGCATGCAAGAACTGGGGTACAGGCCAGAGGTGCAGGGGGTGAGATGATTTACCAGAAAGAGAGTGCGGAGCAGAATAGGCAAATCTACTGAAATACACTGTTGAGGGGAGCAGCGGGCGGGACAGGAGAGGTCTGCTGCTCCATGTGGGTCAGCTCCCTGGCAGGGATTGAATACACGCTGCAGTGGCTGTGGTCCGCTTCATAGTGCTGAGACTTAGCCCCTTGTGCTACCAGGGTAGCCACCAGCCTAATCTTAAGTGAAGGTTCCACCCTTTTCTTAAACTGCTCTATTTCAAGATTTAACTGTTTGCATTCTTTTAAAAAGGCAGAGTCCAGACCTAAGCCGGTGAAAGTATTTGGAGGTGGATAGAGGGGAAACAAGAAAATTCTGGGAAAGCAGCAGCAAGAAAAAAAGGCCAAGCAAGAGGGACCTATTGAATTTCTTTTGTACAGACCATCTGACATTGGACCACTCCACTGAGAAGCCCCTATTCCTCCTTCTTCCCCCCATAAGCATTTTAACCATTTCTCTTTCATTCAACCAATGCTTTGAGTGTTTGCCCTGTGAGCTTGCTTTCAAGGTGGGGGCAAATAGTAAGCAGATAGAGGTTATCTGCTTTTTAGAAATTTGGTAATTCTACCTAAGGGAGTATCAGATAGATCCAAGACACAAGACAGGAGATCTGGCCGGTGGGGGAGGGGGTTAACTCGACACCCCATTGAAGACTATATGTACCCTTTCCCTTAGCAGGGAGTGCTGGTCATTAGTTCTGGTTCTCATTCCACACCTCAATAGAGGCCAGTTCCACAGCAAGAGCCAGGTTTGGGGGACAAATGAGCCAGCACTAGAGCTGGGCCATACTCTGTATGAAGATCTGTCTTCAATCTGAAGATAGATTGAAAACAGTTTGCCTGGAGCAGATATGGGGGCCTCTGAGGAGAGGAAGTGTCCTGGTCAGCAGGGTGCTGAGAATTGTGGGGGCTCTGAGACAAGCAGGTAGTTCAATCAGCTGACCCTTTCCTTTCTGCTTACATCTGGTGGACATGATTCTGGGATGGCTTTGCCCATGGCATTCACTCCACATTTCTTAACTTCTTTTCAACAAGGAGCGGGCATTTTGGTCAAGCCGAAATCTAGTAAGTTGGAAGGACCAACATGTCATAGAACCCTGGGAGTATTAAATAATATTTACAAGAGGATGATGTGGGGAACTAATTATGGATGCTAAGAGGCAATCAGCAGCGGGTAACTCCACTGCTCAAGTGGCGAGAAATTAAATGGAGGGGTGAGGGGTGTGTGCGGGGTTTCAGAGCAGCAAGGCTGTGTCATGGGGACCACGTAAGGGATTGGGATGTCACTACCTCTGCTGAATCTGTTAATAGGATAAAGCAATCTTGCAAATAAGAGCCAACCACAGGAGGCCTGCACTTGAGGGGACTTTAAAATCATGCCAGCTCCTGCCAATAGTTTCACTTGTAGATATGCTGAAACTGGAAGGGGGCTTAGAGCTCAGCAGTGCCACTGGCTCTTGGTTTGGAAGGTTTCTGCCTTCCAAAACTGTGGCAAGTGTTAAGTAATAATTGATTTGTTTTCATTTTTTATTCATCAAAGACACATAGAGGACTGCCAGCTGGGACAAGCAGGAGAAGATATGAAGTCGATGTCACTCCAGCCCCAAACAAGAGACCTATTGTTTTTCTGTTGATCCAGTCATTATGCTGTGTAAATGTAGTTTCCCTTTTGAAGACACTTAAAATAACACAAAGGCCCACTTTCAAAGACCTGAGGGAGGCTGGAGAAGCGGTACCAAAGCCCAAATCTAAGCAATGGTCTTAATTTGTACATAAGTAGACTGAGGCCAGGGGAATGAAAATGGCTTACCAGGGTCACACAGCTGGCTGTCAAAAGGGCTAAGGCTCTGTGGGGGAACAGGGCAAAGGGAAGCTGTCCTGGACACACAGGGGCGGGGAGAGAGTAAATCATGGTCAGGATTAGTATGGCTGAGCATTGCAGACACCAAAAGCTTTGGACTTGATTCTTGTCTTCAGTCCTTACTAGCTGGGAGACCCTGGCAAAATGATGGAAGCTCTCTGAGCCCATTTTCATGCCAGTAAAATGGGGTAACAATAGCATTTAACCACACATTGTTGTGAGGATTAAGTGAGATAACAAAACTTTGTAAACAGTATTTTCCCTTAATCCCTTCTGTGTATGTTGGTGGCGTGCATCTGTGTAGACACAAGACCAAGGGGCTTGGAGAACAAGATCACATTACTTAACTCCCAGGTGCTGCCCTGATACCAGTGGAAAATAAAGTCTGTCCCAAAGGAGCACTAATAAAAATGCTTTCACTTCTAGGCACTCAAAACTGAGGATACCTCAGAACACAGGCTCTGACCAGATTCAGTGCTTCTGAGCACCTGCAGTGTGGGACAGGGAATCTACAGCTTTCACAATTAAGAATTTACATAGCATCAAATTCACAATCTTAAAATGTACTCAGTCGTTTTAGCATTTTAGCACTTTCATCACCCCCAAAATTTAAACCCCATGTCCATTAACAGTGAACTCTCTACTCCCTACTCTCCTATACCCATTCATCTTTCCCTCACTATTAAATTTGTTCATTGTGGGCAATTCATATGAACAGTCATACAACACATGGTCCTTGGAGCTGGTTCCTTTCACTTAGCACTGTTTTCTAGGCCTATCCATGCATGTGATAGCATGAACCAGCACTTTATTCCTTTGAATTTACACTTTTAACAAGATCCAAGTAGTGCTGGACAAGTTTGGGGGAAGAAAAGAATGGCAAATTCAGACAAGATAAAAGTTCTGCTCCCACCTCACATTCACTCCCATCTCATCCTAACCCAGCCTCTGGGGGTGCAGGGGATGCAGGGCAAGACCCCCAGTGGATGCCTGAAAACTGTGGTTTGTACTGAACCTCATGTATGTTTATTCCTACACATATACATACATAACTATGATACAGATGAATTTATAAATTAGGTATAGTAAGAGATTACTAGAACAATTGTAATGATACACTGTAATAAAAGTATTGTGAATGTCATTTCTCTCAAAATGTGTGATATTTTCAGATTACAGATGACTGTGGTAACTGAACAAGCAAAGTGAAATAACTGTGGGAAAGCGTAGATGGGGTGACTACTGGACAGGGGCTCATTCCTTCCTCCACTGGTAATGGAAGGCAACACTAGAAGCTTGAGTCCTCCCGAGATGGCAGAGGTTGGACAGGTTTCCTGGTGCTGGGTACAGAGGAAATGTGTATCCACCAACAGTGGCCTGGCTGCTCTGGAAATTAGGCAGATTAACCGCAAGAGAGACTCACACAGGGGATTTAGTCTCAGCTCAAAGGCTTTAATGTACAGTATGCTCTTGAAAAAATATCTCCAAGGAAACAAGTGGATCCTTAAGTTTTAACCAGTAGGGACTCTTCTTCCGAAACCTGGAAAGGAAGGAGCCTTGGAAAGAAGGGCAAAGGGACTCTGACCACAGTACATGAGTATGAGGTCAGGGTGGCAGGGCTTGTGTGCATGAAGGGCACACTCTCATGATGCCAGACAACCACAGCATCATTACTTCAGTGACTGATATCTCCATTGAACACTAGGGAAGATCTAGACTGGCCAGGTCATCTCCAGAGCTTGGAAAAAGAGGTATAGAGCAAGGATCTTTCCTTTTGTTGTTGAACCTCCAGGTCATCAGAAACAGTCATTTCTGATGTGACTCTAGTGAGGCCACATGCCAGGTCACCAAGTCCCTGGGTGACCTGGGTCTGGGGTCTCAGGATGTAACAAATGAGGAGGACTTTGAGCTCAGGAATCACAGAAATCTTGGAAGATTACCCACGGGGGCCTCTAGACAGGAAAATAGGAATTAGATGTAGAAAATAACAATCAAGACTCAAATGCCTTCTGTGTTACACCCTTCCCAATCTGGAGCTCCTAGGAAAACATGGCCAACTTTTCTGTGACATATATCCATTCAACAAGGGGCAGGCAGAAATTCTAGCTAATCTCTCTATTAGCCTTCAAAATTTCTCTTCAAGACAGTCATCAACTGACATCTCAGACTTGTGGGCAGTCCAGGGTTTCTTGTTTTCTAATCAGCCTATGGAGTAAGCAAACAGTTTTCCTTGCCGTTTGGTTGTTCTTTTTTCCGCATTCAGAAAGAAGTGGACAGCTGCTGAGGCAGGTCTTTCCTAGGAGCTTCAGAAAAGCACATCTGGAATCCAGTAAGGCTAGCACCAAGTCCAGGTTGACAGGAAACCCACGGAAGTGCCTTCAAGGTGAGTATGGCTTCTTTGGCACTGATGGAACTTAATTACTAAAGGAGGATTTCTGGCTCCACCTTTGTAGACTCTGGTAGGACTGATGCTCTTGCAGGTTCCTGCAGGAAGGGGTGGAGAGGTCAGGACTGCAACCGTGTGGGAAGGAGCCTCCAGAGCTGAGCTTCTTCAGTTAGCCAGTCTCCGCACCCTCAGGAAGCTCTACCACCACAGGGGCACAGTCCTCAGGCTCCGCCTCAAAGTCCCACCGGAACTTCTTGGTCAGGTGAGCTTGGAACTTTGCAGCTTTCTGCCTCAGAGTCGCATCCACCGCAACACTGCAGGCAGAGGAAAAGAAAACCTACAGAGAACAGAGGATAAGTCACTCCTGAGAACACAGAGGGGGCCGAGAAAGCTGTGGAAATTTCCTCATGGTGTTCAGCTCTCTGGGGCGGGTGGATCAGCTGCCGCTGGCACAGGCCCAGGACACCTGCTGTGCTCCCCCCAAACCAAGAAGGAAGGTCCAAACCCAGCTGAGAAGCTGGGGCAGGACTAGAATGGAAAATTACTATCCTGGGCAGACGTACCCCACTGGGAGTAAGGCCAGTAGGGGCCATTACCCTGACCCCACCCCCGGGGGGCGGGGGAATCTACTGGGCACCTGGGCAATAACTCAGAGAAAAGGTAGCAGCTCTACCAGCTGGTACTATGAAAGGCTTTGGGGGCTTATAAGCCCTTGGGTCTCATAAGTCCCAGGCCCTAAGCCAATGTTCAGAGGATGAATTGCTGCTCTAATCTAAATGGACCACAGACTGCCAGCCCGAGTTTCCATTCCCCTTAAAAACTGTTTCTGACGCACTTTTTGGGTAATACACACAAAATAGAAAACTTACCTTTTTATGTTAACCTTTTAAAAATTATGCTAAATATACATAATATTTGCCATTTTAACTGTTTTTAAAAGTACAGTCAGTGCCATTAAGCACTTTCACAGGACTGCGCAAACATTACCACATCTCTAAAAGTTTTTCACCTTCCCCAACTGACTGTTTTCCTTTCCTCAACTCAGGAGACCACCATTCTACTTTCTTTCTATGAATCTGACTATTTTTACATACTTTGTGTAAGTGGAATTGGATAGTATGACTGTTCCTTTTGCCTGGCTAATTTCATTCAACATAATGTCCTCAAGGTTCATTCATTTTGTAGCCTGTGCAAGACGACTTTCCTTTCTTTTTAAGGTTGAGTAACATTTCATTTTACTTATATATCACATTTTGTTTTCCATTCTTCACTCCATGGCCATTACATTGATGTAATAATATATACTACATTACAGGGGTGCTTCTGCCTTTTGGCCATTACAAATAAGTCTGTTGCCAACATGAGTGTACAAATACCATTTAGAGTCAACTCTTTCTACTCTTTTGGGGATATACCCAAGAATTCCTGGATCATAAAGTAATTCTATGTTTAGTGAAAAACACTATACTGTTTTTAAGTGACTATGCCATTTTATATTTCTACCAACATGAAAAATTTCTCCACATCCTTGCCAACACCTTGTACTTTCAAATTTCTTTTTATAATAGCCCTTTTAATGGGTGTAAAGTTATATCTTATTGTGGTTTTGTTCTGCATTTCTATAATGACTACTGATGCTGCATGTCTTCTCATATATTTACCAGTCATTTGTATATCTTCTTTGGAGAAATGTCCACTCAAGTCCTTTGTCCATTTTTTAATCAGGTTCTTTTTGTTGCTGAGCTCTCAGACTCTTTATATTCTGGATATTAATTCCTTCATTTTGCTTTCTTTTTAGTTCATGGTCAAGTAGCAGAACAGTAATTTTCTAATACATCTGAAATCCCATTCCAGATTATACTGGATCCCAAATTCTTCTAAGAATAAGGCAAACCCATTAGTCCTTTTCAAACTATTTTATTATTTTCAAAGAAGTTTCAGGGTATCCCGTAGATATTCACAAAATTTGCAAAGAAAATGCCTATTTCATAGGAGTAGAGGCTGATAAGTTAAATGACTGTATCAAAACTCCCCAGGAAGAATGGAGTGTTTTCCCAGACCATCATCAAAGGATTCTAAAGCACGACCCTGCAGACATAGGAGTATGAGTGTCAAAGAAATTCTTTGGTTCACATCACTCTCGTACATAGCTGACCTTGGTCAGGAAGAAATCTGGGCTCCAGGGGCCTGATTTGACAAAGGCCAACAGACATAGTCTGTAGTTGACCATGGACAATGCTCCTCCTACATTCTTCTCCAATGTCTGTTAGCAGGAAGAGTGGAATTTGTTTTCAGTAGTGTTCGGAGCCACTTGTCATAGTGGTAGCAGGGACAGAAGTGATGTGGGGGTGGGGCTACAGATTTCATTAACTTGGGAATTAAGTAAATATAGGAAAGGGAAGCACAGTCACAACAAAATGCTAGATCAATAACTAATTAGTGTGAGCCTGATGGTGAGAGGGCAGTGGGGAAATGTGAGGCTTGTCTGTAAGCAGTTAATGGAGCTGCCATAGACTGCTGAGTGCAGAACACAGTTACCCACTAGGGAGGGGTCCAGTATGGGAAGCAAAGAACACTTGTTTCAAACAGAAATTGCTCTAGAGGCCCTACACATCATGTATATATCCCCCGAAGGTTCTGGCAACCTGCTAAACTGATTTAGCAAAAGCCCCTTTCTGTGTCCCCCCACCCCCCCTTACAGAGTCAATTGTACTACTGTCTACATATTCCCTCCTTTGCAGCCACTTTGAACTACTTCCCAAACATGCTCTACTGTCTCTTCTGTGCCTCCACAGGCGTTTCTTACACCCCTCCATTCTGTGCTTTTTTCACCTTTACCAGGTTATTTTCTACAGTAGACACAGACTCAGCTCAGACATCAATTCCTATAGGATTTCTTCCCAGATCAGGGATGGAACAGGTGTCCCTCTGTTTGCCCAGCACCCAGGGTTACCTGAAGATAGCCTCAGTACCAGTTAGGTAACAGTCCATTCACTGTTGAGTTCTCCCAAAAGATGAGGATTAACTCCAAAGCAGTGATTCTCTTTCACACCTGCATTCCACCCTCCTGCTACAGTTAGATGTCAAAAAAGGGCCCATTAAATTTTCACAAGAATCAAGACTATTGGTTCTATAAAAATCTTATTTTTTTTTGGTTCACTTTTAGAGAGTCTGGCACCAAGTAATTGCTCAATAATTATGTAATGATGCTGGACAGAATAAGGGACTCATCCTAGAGATGAAGTGACTTATTTATCTGGTCCCTGAAAGCTTCCAGCTCACAAGTCACCTCCTTGTGACATGCCTTTTATAAAAGCCTAAGTCAAAATGAATCGCTCCAATCTCTGTTCCCCAGCACTAATGAGATGCAGAGATTGCACTGCATTTGGCAATGACCAGCAATGAAAGCTGGAACAGGCTGGGCTCACAATCACTACTCCTCCTTCCCACCCACCTCTCAAACACTGCCTGGGAATAGTCAACCAGAGAAAGGTATAACAGAAGACTTCAGAAGATGCTTCTAAATTGAAAAATGCTTTGTTCTTTTTAAGAACTTATCAAATTAATCTTTACTACAAACCTGGGAGGATGAAACATAGGAAATTACTATTCCCACTGTACAGATGAGGATGATGATAAAAGCTGAGCAAGTAATAAATGTCAAGCAAGATACAGGTAAGTAAGAAAATCTTAATCTTTTTTCCCTACAAGAACTTCTTTTGTTTTGATGCAGATATGCTATTTTTAGCAGCACCTGGTGGGGGAGTCAAGAAGCTTAGAGACCCAAAGTTTTAGAACTGTCCCCTCCATAGTTCTCCAGTCACCATCCCCAACAACACCCCCCCCCCAGTTCAGACTGACTTTAAGAAAAAAAAAAATCCACTTATTGAGGTATAATTCACATTCAATTAAATTTACCCATCCTTAGTGCTTGATTCATTTTGACAAATGTATACACCCATGTAACCACAATCTTATATAAGCAAGATAGGTGAGTATTGACAAGTTTTTCTTTTGGCATCCAAATCTATGAGTTTGAAAACTCACATAGATCTGTGGAACCACCACCATGATCAGGACACACTGAACATTCTTATCACTCCAAAAAGCTCCCTTATGCTGCCCCTTGGTGGTCAAACCCTCCCCTATTCCTAGTCCCTGGCAGCCACTGATCTATTTTTGTCCCTACAGTCTACAAACCTAGTTTTTAAATAAGTACTTCACAACTCATAAAAAAGGAATGTTTAAATAGTATCTAATTTTCAAATTTTACTTTTTAAAAATTCTCTTTTTACATTACTTTTATGTCTTCTTTAGAAAACTTAATAATATTGGTTAATAAATTAACCACTTTATTAACGTGAAATCAAGTAAATTTAGTATCACTGAGAAGCTAATCATCTTAATATTAGAAGATTCATCAAAAATATTTTAAAAATACTTCTGAGAGACTAATTTTAGATCATCAATGGCTATTATCTAAAACTAAAAGCACACCCATTGGGTGTTTTTCTTTAAATATAAAAACAGGTATTAATGTTCTTTAATCACGAAGTCTGTATGCTATAAAATCATGAATTACTTTAGTTAGAAATAGGAAAGCTTACTTTAAAGGAAAGCTTACTTTTAAACCCAAGTTAAATAGAATTTAGTCACGTCACCTTGAGAAATTAAAAATATCAAGGGAGGTAGCTGAGTCACTAGCCTATCCTATTTTATGGCTAGACCAAAAAGAAATTTCCTCATTTTTTCAATTGCCAAATCATTATTCAACTTAGAATGAAAACTAGTCAGAGATAGAACAAATTATTTCCACTTGCAGAAAAATAAAGTGGTGTCCAAAGAGAGACTATCACTTCCCACTGATTACCAGGATGGTGAAAGACAGTAGGAATCATGTCTTTTGAGGTCTGTTTAAAGAATCTGGGCGGTAGCACCTGGAGTGCTTATCATGTACAGGAGCCCACCACAGGCTTCAGAATCAAAGCTCGGCCTTGCCATCCACCAGCTCTGTTGATCGTGGGTAAAGCTGTCTGATCTCTCTGATTCTATTTCCACATCTATAAAAAGGGATTAATGCTTAAACTTCTAGAATTACTGTGAGAGCTAAATAAGACAATGCACAGTAAGTGAAAAAACATAGTTGATGGCAGAAAGTATAGGAATAAGTAGATAAAATTGATTACAACAGGTGTTATGATAAAAATACTATAGCCATAAATGTCAGAGCAATGTTTTCCCACCAGAGTTAAAGATGGACACTAGTTTTCAGAATACTGGTAAGAAATGAACTTGGAGAACCCTCCCGGGTGGCGCAAGGGAGTACTAAGAAGCTATCCACAGCCACTTCAACATGAGTTTGATCCTCGGCTAGAGAGGTGACCCATATGATGCAGCAGACCTTTCCTGCTTCACCCACTGCTCCCCTCAGCAGTATATCTCAGTCAACCAGCCTGTTCTGTTCCCCCATTCTGTCTCCAGTGAATCCCATCACCCCCTGCATCTCTGGCCTATACCCAAGTTCTTCTATGCATAAATAAATAAATCTTAGGAAAAAAAGAAATGAAGTTGGAAAGCATATATGGCCTATTGTGATCAAAAATACTTAAAAAAAAATAGGTTATGTGACAATATGCCTAAATGTTGTACAATCAACAACAAGAATCCTTATTTTGTACATAACTTACTTTCTAACATACTATTAAATTCAGATTATCCTTTCATTGGTTCTAAACAAATTATGGTGACTCAAGTTGCTGTAAGTCAGAGAAAAAAATGGTATCTATTTTTGGAAAACAAGTAATTTTTAATTCAAGCTAAGTCCATGGGATTTGTAAAAAAACATGGCATCTATTCAGAAGGACGTCTAAAATGGCGTAGACCATTACATGGCTGATTTTATACAAGCTAATGTGGCTTTCTTTAAGAGCTTACATATACAAACACCAGTCTCTCTCCATGGGTAGTAGCCATTTAAGTTTCTAAGTAAGAAAGCCAGTGCCACTTACTTGACTACCTAGGGGGAGAGCAGGCGTCTGGCTGACAAAGGCTTTTATGGGCTGAATCATTCACTCACAAACACTTTGTGAGTGCTTCTATGTGGGGGGACTGGATTACTGTCAAGATGGCATCAACATAACTCTTCATTAAAAAAAGTTTTCTAATATCTTTTCCACGTTGCTGAAGTCTTAGTTATCCTTCAAGCTTCAATGCCCTCCTTTGCAAAATGCCATTCCTGGTCTTATATGCCCTCAAATCTTAATTCCAGTTTGAATTAACCAATCCCTCTTTGGCACTCCTAATGCCCTTTGATCAGACTCTTCTTTTTGTACCTATCATATCAGGGTCATCTACTTATGTCGCCACAGGCATTATACATTCTACCCACCTAAAATAACAAATAATACAAAGTAAGTGTTTGGCTTCCATTAGGTGTTGAAAATAACCAGATGAAGAAAAAATAAGCTGTGGAGAAAAGCTCACCGCTCATTGGGAAGTCAAACAGACAACATACAAATTTCAGTAAGCACAGCCTGTGCAATAGTGACAAGTACAAAGTAGGCTAAATGTATGGAAGGATGAGAGATCAGAAATGACTGTACAGGGCAGGATAAACAAGTACATACCAGGTAGAGGGGAAAATCAGAATCAGTTAAGAAAGCATGAAACATGGGTGTAAAGTTTCAGTAATACCAGATGAAAAAGTTCTGGAGTTCTGGAGTCCAGATGAAAAATATCAGTTTCTAGAGATATTTAGGCAATACGTTTGCTTACTTTACTACCAAAATCTAAGCTCCAGTCACCAGTGGTCTTACTTAAAACTGTATTCTCAGTCCTAGAACTGGAACTTGTACACAGCAGGTGCTCACCAAACACCTGCTAATCAATGAACAAATCCCTTGAGGCCAGGAAATCAGTCTAACTTATGTCAAGTATTCTTCAGTACTTACATAACACCATCGTATATAAAGAAAAGGATGCTCAAGAAAATGTGATGATTTTTTTTTTAATCTGGAACTAATTTATTGATCCAAAGGAGTATATAGACAGCATCTCATGTATTCATCCTTACCAGAGATTTTTTTTTGAAATAATATAAGTTTATTTTTACATAATTTTGTGCATTTTTTTTATCTCAGTTGTAAACCCCATGGGCTTCCAAATCACCCATGTGCCATGATGATGAATTTCTTAAAGGCCTATGTCCTGGATTTTCCCAAATAATGACATCCAGTTTTCTTGATGGAAAGCCCAAAGACATTTTTCTAGCCATCAGCTATGCACACTCCACCTGGGCATCTAACAATTCAGCTGGGCGTTTTTTGCCCTGTAAATCATTGCTGGCAACAAAGTCTCAGCAATTAGTGATCAGCTATTGGTTGCACTGACAATGACAATGGTCAGGGCAGCCAGCAACACAGTGTGACCCCCTGAGCTGTGTAACAGCACTAACACATTATCATGAGGTAGCAGTCTGATGCCTCCTCCACTGCTCTGCAAGCTCCAACCCACTTAGGGGGGATGTCCTCTGCAGAGGAAGGATAAAGGGGTTTAATTTCTCTGTTACATCAAGAACCGATGTAAAGGGACAGTTTTTTAACTCTCCTGAAGTGGAGCATACCACTCTCAAGCCATCAGCTTGACTGACTCATCCTCTTGGTCTGCACCCGCCCTCCAACTGCCAGTTTTACGTTAGCTGCCTGCTCCCGGGGAAATCACAATATGTTGGTTTTAGAAAAGTATTCTGTATCTCTGATGTCTCCAGGGAAATCACTGTATGTTGGTTTTAGAAAAGTGTTCTGTATCCCTGATGTCTCAACCAATGTCAGTCAAGAACCTTCTTGGGGGAGAGGGGGATCTACATTATATTCAGTACACAGGGTTATAAGCATATCCCTAGACCAAGATTCAGACATGTAAATAAATTCTGTTGCTTACCAGCTGTGTGACCATATGTAAATGACTTAACCTTTCTGAGTCTTGGTGTTCTCATTTATAAAATGGGAATAATCTTCCCTCACTTACAGGGTCCCCAAGAGAAAGTAAATGAGGGAAACTGCTATAGCGTGATAAATAAGGCATCTGGTATTCATGGCATTTAACAAATGGTCGTTCTTTCCCTTACCCTGGGCAGCAATGAGAGCTCACCACCTAGTAAGAAGCAGGCCTTGTGGGGTCTCACACACAGGAAGAAAGCAGAAAGTATGAAAGTGACAGCTTGCAGATTCTGTCTGTCTCTTCTACTCTTGAGAAAGTTACAAAATGTGAGTGACAAGGGCTGTCCCAAGAACATAAAGGAAGCTAATCTGTTTGCAAAGGGAGGAAATAGCACAAGATGAAGATTGTAAGTTGTTTGAAGCTTTTTCCCTAATTACCACTCATAATGAAAATTTAATTGCCAAGTTAAAAGCAAATTTCACTTTTTCTGTCAGAGAATCTCTGCAGAAACTGGCACATTTTGTTTGAACAGGAAATCAAAGTTACTTTAATGCTTAAATGAGATCTAAGGAGCTGCAGATGTTTCCCTGGGAATAACAAGCTTCAAGACTCTGTCCTACTGGGTTGCAGTAACTTAGGCTACAGGGAGACAGAAAAAGTACTTTGAGCTGAGTAACTCAGAGGGTGGAGGTGATTCAAATTTAAAGTACCCCAGTGCTAGACATCTAGGGGTAAGGCAGGGAGTGGGTGGTACAGAAAGGGTCTCTGGCATCAAGAAGCTTAAAAAGCATGAGAAAGAACTGGATTAGGAAATTGAAATTTAGAAACCTTTGGGTGATGAAAGAACAGCAAGAAACAAAGAGGTAACCCTCTGAGGGTGCTAACCCACACGAATGTCAGCCAGAGGACTTCTCACCTGTAAGGTGCTGGTAAGAAAGTTGTCCTGGGAGACAATATCCACAAAGAAGTCGGCAGGAATCTCTCCAAGCTGATGGTAAAGGATAGAGATGAGGTTGATGTAGAGGGTGCTGTGCTTCACCATGGCTTCTTCTGACCGGCATAGAAGGTTCAGGAGCCGCTTCCAGTGCTCAAATGCCTCATACACATTTCCCAGCAGGAAGCATACAAAGGCAAATTGGAGTTCACCTAAAAGAGGCAGAGAGGAGAAATGATCCTGAGGGAGAGGAGCACCAGCTGACTCTGTGAAGTCAATTCATGAGTTCCGCAACACAGTAATGGTAGCCTTTTATTCTTGATTCCTGCAGAGCCTAGTGTGGGGTTTTGCAGCTAACAGGTGCTACAAATTCAAGCCATAGGATATCAAAATGTTGTAAAATCAGACTACAAGGAAGAGGTATACCTAGTATTTGCCTGGCAAAGAGTTCACAAAATGTGTCCACTGATATTATACCAAGTGGATTCTAAACCTGGCTGCTTATCAGATTTACTAGGAAAGCTTGTTAAAAATAAAGCTGCCAACTGGGTAGCTACATGCAAAAAAATGAAACTAGATCATTGCCTCACTCCAGTCACAAAAATCAACTCGAAGTGGATTAAAGACCTAGACATAAGAACG